AAAAAAAAAAAAAATAGTATAGAAAGGCCCCATATATCCCACACTCAATTTCCCCTACTAATAACATCTTTCATTAGTATGGTACGCTGTTTCAAAAAACAAAAAGACATGCTATCAAAAAAAATGATATCAAATCATACTTGCAATCTGACAATCCAATTTTGAAACAAAATGTGTATAAATAGTTGAGTGGAAAACTAATTTCATCCAAACTGGCGCTGTCAGATAAGCACTGGACTGCAAATCACAAAGTCGGTGGTTCAAACCCACCAGTTGCTCCTTGGAAACGCTGTACACAGGGTCACTGTGTTGAAATCAACTAGACAGCACTTAACAACATAATTAAAAGTACAAAAAATTAAGTAAAAATGGCAGTTGTGTTGTTCCCTCTCTCCCCTCCACCACAAAGACCCTAAGAATTTGTATTAGTTTTCCAGGGCTGCCATAGCAACAAAAACACAAACTACTGGGCAGCTTATAAACAGCAGTAATTTATTGTCTCATACTTCTGGATTCAGAGTATTAGAACTGTGTTGTCTCCAAAGGTTCTAGGGAAAGGACCATTTTGTCTGTCTAGTGCTAGCTATGGGTATTTTTCCGTGTTCCTTTGCTTCTTGATACATGCTCATGTGGTTGTTTGCTTTTCTCTATCTACAATGTAGACTGTCTTAATTTTATCAGTAGGTTAAAACTTATACTTTGTAATTAAGCCTGAAACTGTAATTAAAGTAAAATCAACCTTGTGGTCACATCTGCATATAGAAAGGGCCTCAAAAAGTGCATCAAAAACTAGGATTAAAAGATTATATAATTCACAATAAAACATTAAAAAAAAAAAGTTAATGGAGTAAAGGTGGAGGTTTTGTAGCCAAAGGACGGGAGTGATTGACTATGAATTCCAGGAGCCGAGGTCCCTGGAACCATCAAAGGAGAAGAGCAGAGTGCGAGACCCTACCCAGAGAAGCAGTGACCCCAGAGATGGAGATGGCAGAGACGATGATGTGGAGACATGTAGCAGCTGGGGACTCTAGAACAAGAAAGGGAGAGGGGCTGTGTTGTGTGCTGACGACCATGGGGCAGGCTTGAAGGGTATGGCAATGAAACGATAATACAACAGGATGAATGTAAAGCTAATGTTCTCCCATGTAAACTATCACATAATTCACAATAAAACATTTTTTTAAAAAAAGGTAACAATTTTTCTACAAGCTTACTTTGGAGCCCTCTCATATTTACAACAGCAGCAGAAGCGTGTCCTCTGAAGATACTTAGGGCCAAACACCTCATGGGATTTTTGGTTACTTGCTTCAGAGGCTTCAGGCCATAGTTTTATGGGACAGTCCAGTTAATTGACCTCATTTCCTGTTTTATGCATCTGGTCAACCTCCTACTTCTGTGCATAGTGCCTGGGGTCTTACAACTTTCTAGTGGCCTTCCAGGACACAGCAATTGGTTTCTATTTGCCTGAACCAAAAAAGTCAGGAAGAGTAACAACTACTCCCAACTACTCCTTTTCCATAAGATCACAAGAATTGTTTGGTGCCCAGATACTTCTTAGTAAACATTTTGATCAAAGACTCTATAGAAGAATCTGATCAAAAGAATTTCAGTTCACAGTGATGTCATGTTTGCAAAGTAGAACTGCACTCTGTAGGATTTTCATAGCTGTGACATTTCATAGGCAGATCACCAGGCCTGTCATCCAAGGTGACTCTGGGTTGATTTAAACCACAACCTTTCAGCTAGTAGCCAAGTACTTAACTTTTGAAATAGGAACTCAGAGAACATTTTTTATAAGAAAAGGATTTCGGGCTAAATGTCATTTTACCTTGGCCTTAAAAGATTAGAAGGCCAGCATAAGCTTTAATAAAGAGGCAAGTTGTTTTATGAATGATACATTAAAGAAAACATACTTCATCTCTCATACTTTGGACATATTGTCCTGAGAGAATAGTCGCTGGAGAAGGATGTCATGCTGTGTAAGGGAGAAAAAGAGGAAGACCCCCAACGAGATGGATTGGCCAGGTGGCATCATTGATGGACTCAAGTGTGGCGCAGCGGTGGTGAGGTTGGCCCAGGATCGGACATTGTTTCGTTCTGCTGTGCATGGGGTCGCTATGAGTCGGTTCCAACTCGCTGGCACCTGACAACAACAACTTTAGTGTTAGTGTGTAATTTGAATAATAATGGTATTAACTGGTCTTCCTTGTTAGGTGTATGGATATTATCCTATCATAGGCAGCATTATATTTCAAGCTAGATCTTGAAATCTTCTTTATATGATGAATGCCATTCTCTTCAGCTTTTCATTCCCAACATAGTAAACATATGACTTGTCAAATTTAAAATGGCCAATTTCAATTCATGACTGCCTGAGATACTGATCTTTATGCATTCCATTTCATTTTTGACAGATTTCAATTTTTCAATGTACTTCATACATCACATATTTCAATTATTAATGGATGTTTACAACTGTTTCCCCTCATTTTGAGTTTTTCCTCATCAGCAAATGAAGGTACTGAAAGATTTATCCATCATGGTCAACTCTACTTTGAGGAGCCAATTCTTCCCCAGTTGTATTTTGAGTGCCTTCCAACCTAAGGATCTCATTTTCCAGCACTATATGATAATACTTTGGTGCTATTCATGATGTTTCAACGTTAAATATTCTGCTGCTGACAGTGTTCCACTGCTATTCATAGGTTTTCAATGGCTAACCATTCAATAGTAGTTCTCCTCTCCTTCCTACTCTTAGGCTAGAAACTCAACTGAAACCTCTCCAGCATGGGTGACTCTGCTTTTATTTAAAATACCAATGGCATAGTTTTCAGCATCACAGCTATACGCAAGTGACCACAGAAAGACAAACTGAAAGGCTAGTGACTTTAAATTCTCCAGAATCTTTCAGTATTGCAAATTTCTAGGCTTGAATTTTTTTCTACAGTTCTTTCATCTTGATGAGTGTGTTCTTCATTATGAGTGCTTCAGTATTTCTTCTTGAACTGCCCTTTTAAATTTTCTGTTTAGCTCTTTTACATCATCATTTCTTCCAGTTGCTTTAGCTTCTCTACTCCACAGCAAGGTTCAGAGTCCCTTCTGATATCCATATCGATACTTTCTTTTTTTCCTGTCTTTTTAATGACCTTTATGACCTTTTTCTTTCTTCGCATATGATATTCTTGATCATCTCACAAGTCGTCTTCTGGTATTTGGCCATTGGTTTCTAATGCATCAAATCTATTCTTGAGATGGTCTCTAAATGCAGGTGGGATGTATTCAGGGTCATATGTTGGTGCTCATGTTGTTGCTGTTACGTGCCTTGGAGTCAGTTCCAACTTACGCTCATAGACTTGCTTCATTTTCTTTAGCTGCAGCCTGAACTTGCATATGAGCAGTTGATGATGGTGTACTCCACAGTCAGCTCCTGGCCGCTTTTCCATCATTTCTTCCCATAAACATAGCCAAGTTGATTCCTCTGTATTCCATCTGGTGACGTCCACGTATATTGTCACTATTTATGTTGTTGGGAAAAGGTATTTGCAGTGAATAAGTCATTGTTAAGTATCATCAAGTTAATTCTGAACTCAGCAATGTTGCATAGAGTTTCTGACATGCAGCTGGTGGATCTGAACTGCTAACCTTGCAATTAGTAGGCCAGTACGTATCCTATATCACCATACTAAGATTCCATTAACCTTTCTTCCATGTATGGATATTATCCGCCTAGATCTTGAAAAGCTCTTCATGATAATGAGTATGCCATCATTCATCTTCAATCTGTCGTTCCCAGCCTAGTAAACCATATATATGATTGTCTGATTGAAAATGAGACCATTTCCCTCCATTTCCGCTCACTTAATGCCTAAGATACTGGTGTTTATTCATTCTATTTCATTTTTGATGGCTGCTTTTTTTTTTTCTAATTCATGCTTCATACTTTCTGTGTTCCGATTATTGGATGTTTGCACCCGTTTCTTCTCACTTTGAGTTGGATCCCATCAGCAAATGAAGGTCCCGAAGACTTTAGTCCTTCCACTCTACTTTGAAGTGGCAGTTAATCCCCAGTTATTGAGTACCTTCCAACCTGAGGGGCTCATCTTCTGACATTATATCAGACAATGTTCCACTGCTATTCATAAGATTTTCAGTAGCTAAAAATCACAAATGGTCTTCCTTGTCAGTCTTAGTCTGGAAGCTTTGCTGAATGAAATCTGTCCACTATGGGTGACCCTCCTGATATTTAAAATGCCAGTGACATAGCATCTAGCTTCACAGCAACACACAAGTCAACAACAGTATGACAAACTAACAGATGTGTGGTGATATATAAAAATCCTGTTTGCCCAACCCCCCTTATAAATATTAGATATCATTAGTCTTTTTGATTGGAAGTTTAAGTGTTTGTTGTATAATATCATTCTAACCTTTTTAGTAATTTTTATGTACTGAATTTGCCCCTTAATGTGTATATATGTATAAAAGCTGTAAGCAGAATCTAGACTGAATGGCTGACACAATTTTCTTATAAATGAGAATCTTCATAGAAATGTCACTATGAGAGAATTAGCTATACTAGTAATGTCAACAAAATTTAGTCCCTTTTTAATGTGTTCATCTTAAAATATGATTAGCCTCATTTGTTGAGTTATTGAGTACATTTTGGTTTGTTTCAGTAGCCGGATTGAGCTGGGAGATGTAACACCCCACAATATTAAACAGTTGAAGAGATTAAACCAGGTCATCTTTCCAGTCAGCTACAATGACAAGTTCTACAAGGATGTGCTGGAGGTGGGCGAGCTAGCAAAACTTGGTATGTTTATTTCTTCATCTCTTCATTTGCCAATTAATGTTCTTGATCTCTTTCTCTCTTACCTTTCGTGTTAGCAGCTAAAAGATACCTAAGTTATTGGTTTCCTTATTTTGTATAGTAGAAAATAGCAGTCTATGTTCTGAGAAAAACTTTGGAGAAATGAAAAATAATAAAATATTTGAATTTAAAAAGGAAATAGTAATGGGGGTTGTTTGTTTGTTTTTAAATTTGCTGTGTGCCTCTGTGTTTTCACTTCTTATTCTGTAGTAAGGCTTAAACTTCCCAAGACAAGGTAGAAGGTTTGGGCATTTGATTTTTAGAATAGTGATAAAATTTCTAGATAAAGATCTAGACGGGAAGGAGGAAGTTAAAATGTGGTTTTTCTCATGTGTTTTTCTGTCAGGCTTTATGTGTTTATGTTTTTCTTGGCAGCGTATTTCAATGACATTGCAGTAGGTGCAGTGTGCTGTAGAGTGGATCATTCACAGAATCAGAAGAGACTTTACATCATGACACTAGGATGTCTGGCACCTTACCGAAGGCTAGGAATAGGTAAAATTATAATTTTGTTTTGTTTTTACTTAAAAAAAAGCATATGTTGTTTGTTACTGATCCTGACCTAATAAGTCAAACCATTTCTTTTATGAACACTGGGAAATACTTTCTGAATTATATAAGCTAAGGTTTTAAAAACTGAATTAAATGGATTCCAACTTTATGATGACTCCAGATCTGTTAGCATAGAATTGTGTATATGCTTCATACTTCTGTCAGTCGCTGGTTGTTGTTTTTATTTCTTTCAGAAATAGATTGCTAGGGCTTTCTTTTGAAGTGCTTCTGGATGGGCTCAAACTGCCAACTTTTGGATTAATAGCCAGCACATTAATCATTTGTACTACTCTGTATAAAAGTTATTCTTAACATAATTCAGCGGGAAGCCCTATGCATATATATTATTTGTGTCTTCTTTTGCTTTTTCTGTCTTTTGTTTTTAACCTAGAAGGAAGGGATTTATATGTTATATGTTTAGAGAGAGCAAACTTGGGAAATAAGAATTTCTCACAATGAGTCAGAGCCAACTTAATAGCAATTAACAGTAGTGTGCACCTTTATAAGTACTGTTGATGCTCAATCTGTATACTAGTTAAGAAAACAGTGTGTAATTTAGAGATTGATTTTATAAAGTTACTTGTTGATTTTGTCTTTAATAGGAACTAAAATGTTAAATCATGTCTTAAACATCTGTGAAAAAGATGGCACTTTTGACAACATCTATCTGTAAGTAAAATAATTTTTAAGGTAAATGTTCTTTTAAGATTTAATTGACAAAAATCTTTACTAGTGACTTTAAAATCTGGTCACTTATTTCATTATTTCTTTGGAAAACACCATGGAAATAATTACTTAAGGGAGTGGTGGTGTCTTGTTTTTAATGGTAAATTAGGAAGCTGAAATAAAACCTTTACTCATGCTTTGCTTTATTATGTTGGGGTAGGAGCTCCAAAGTCACTGGAATAAGGCCAGGATTAGAACTCAGGTCTTTAGAATTTAAGACTATTAATAGGAGTCCTGGTATGGCGGTGTGGGCTAATGTGCCAGACTGCAAAGTCATTTGAACTGCAAGGTCAGTGGTTCAAGCTCACCAGCTGTTCCTTGGAAACCCTATACAGGGTCACTATGGGTCAGAATTGACTTGACGGCACTTCACAACAACAGCAGTAGCACTTTACTCATACCATGCAGCTTGCATCCTACTGTATTTTGCTCAAGACCACGCTCTTTTGTAGTAGAGATTAATGGTCAAACTCAGAGGTACCTAGCAGAAATGATATTTGGATCAAATCAGGCCTTGAATTAAGAGCCAAGGTTTCAGTCATTTCCATGAATTGTTACTTAACAATGTAAGTATTCCAGAACACTTAATTATGCTTACGAAGAACTTGTAACCTAGATGAAGAGGCAGTTGTCTGAACAGAAAAAGGGAACACCAAATGGTTTAAAATTAGGAAAGGTGTACACAAAGATTGTGTCATTGCACCAACCATACTTAGTTAATCTGTATGCTGAGCACATAATCCAAGAAGCTGCATATATGAAGAAGAATGTGTCATCAGGATTGGAGGAAAACATAAATTAATGCTATATCAGATGATACAACCTTACTTGCTGAAAGCAAAGAGGACTTTGAAGTACTTACTGATGAAGATCAAAGACTAGAGGCTTCACTATGGGTTGCATCTCAATGTTAAAGAAAACAAAAATCCTGACCAGTGAACAGCATCCATATAAATGGAGAAAAGATTGAAGTTGTCAAAGACTTCATTTTGCTCTCAGTTCAACCATCAGCACTCATGGAATAGCATTCAAGAAATCAAACAACTTACTGCTTTAGATAGATCTGCTGCACAAGACTGCTTTAAAAGTGTTAAAAAGCCAAGATGTCAGTTTGAGGATTAAAGTATACCTGGCCCAAGCCATGGTATTTTCAGTAACCTCATATGCTAGTGAAAGTTGGACAGTGAATAAGGAAGACCATGGAAGAATGGACACATTTGAGTTAAGGTGTTGGAGGAGATTATTAAAAGTACCATAGACTGCCAAAAGAACAAATAGGTCTGTATTGGAAGAAGTATAGCAAGAATGTTCCTTGGAAGCCAGGATGGCCCAGTCCCTGAAGAAGAAAACCAGGTTTGGTAAAATTGAGGGCCAGCAAAAACGAGGATGATCTCCAACAAGATAGATTGTGGCACAATGGCAGCTGCAATGGGCTTCAGTGTAGCAACGATTGTGAGGTTGGTGCAGGACCGGACAGTCTTCCATTCTGTTATACATAGGTTTGCTGAGTCAGTACCAACTTTATGGCACCTAACAACAAAAACAATATGTAGTAAGTTTATATAATTTTTGTTTTGTCAGTGAGAGAGATGAAGTTATGTTATTTTGGGAGGAAATAAGAAATCATATATGACCATTTGTTCAAACTGTATGCTTTTTATCATAAGGAAATATATTCAGGATTTTTTTGTGTGTGTGTTTTTTTCTCCTCACGATTTTTCCTGAATTCTTCAATAGGCCTTTGATTCTTCCATATGGTTAATTAACCCACATTTTAATTACAAGAATCTCTTCATCCCTTCTAATGAAAAACATTATACTAATAGGATACTTTTCCCTTAGTTGATTTCAAGAAGCAATAAACACTAGGGCTGATCCTCCTAATCTCAGCCAGCTGTTACGCTAATGTAGGAGTTGGGTTTTAAAAAAATCTCACCCACTACCTTTGAGTCAGTTCTGTGTCATAGAACACCTATAGGACAGAGTACAGCTGCTCCCAATGCATTTCGAAGGCTGCCATCTTTATGGACTCTAGGTGTGGCGCTGTAGTATCCGAACTGAACTGTCAACCACAAGGTTGGCAATTCAAACCCCACCAGCTGCTCCTTGGAAAACCTTATACAGGGTCTCTGTGAGTCAGAACCTACTTGAGGGCACTTAACAATCTCTGTGGAAGGGCACTGCCTCATCTTTATCATCAGATGTTTTCTGAAATTAATATTTCAGTCATTCTGATTATATTACATGTGAAATGTTGCACATTTTATTTTGTAGTGAATATGAAAAAAATGTCCTCAGTATTCTTGCTCCTAACAGTTTTAGCTAGCTTGCAGTTTTAGGTTTGAGGCTATCTGTGGAAAAATCATTAAAGCTGACAAAATCTTTTTTATTTTTTATTCCATTTATATTTCAGGCATGTTCAGATCAGCAATGAGTCAGCAATTGACTTCTACAGGAAGTTTGGCTTTGAGATTATTGAGACAAAGAAGAACTACTATAAGAGGATAGAGCCCGCAGATGCTCACGTGCTGCAGAAAAACCTCAAAATCCCATCAGGCCAGAATGCAGATGTGCAGAAGATAGACAACTGAACAAATTACAAATGAACTTTCTTGCACTTGCTTGTCGCCAAATAAAAGAGAGGCCTGTTAATCCCCCCCTCCCCCAACTTTCTTTTAAAGCTTTTCCCTCCTCTTTATTCTTATTTCTCTTTCTTTCCTTTTCTCTAAAAGTTGTAATACTTTCAAGGACTTTAAAAATCATGTTTGGATTGTTTTAGTTTTCTTATTTTTGTGAGATGGTTTGGTTGAAGGAAGGGAAAAGTATAGTAGGTCTGTTTTGTTTCACCTTTAAAGATATATGGCCCCACAATTTTGGGTGTTAAATAATTTCTGATTTTTGTAACAGATTTTTTTTTTTTAAAGTCCTGCTTTCACATTGAAGGGCAGAGCATACAAAAATATCATATTTCAAAAGACAAAAAGAAACAGCAGCAATATTTTGTTCTAACTCATAGACAAGTTTAGTGTGTTTGTGGTACTTTGGGTTTTTAAAGACTATTGTGGGATACTGATCCCTGGACATTGCCTTCACTCCCTCTACCTTCAGTCCTTCTGAGTACTATCTCCAGAGTTGGACCATTATTATCCTTGTAAGAAATACTTTTTTTTTTTTTTTTTTTGTAGTTATTTCCTCTCTTCCTGTTGGTGGTTAAGGGTGGGTGGGGCAGTTTGGTAGGTAGTGATACTATATATTTTGGTCTCAGTATTTGAGTTAAACTGCTTTTTCTAATAAGTGGGCTGGGTTGTTAGCAGACTTCTTTTTCCTGCTATTGGTTGTTACTAGTGGCATTAACTGCTAGAGTGTAGGCTGGTGAGATTATTATTTTTTTTAATATCCCAGCTAGAAATATGGCCTTTAACTGACCTAAAGAGATTTGTTGTGGTTTACTTTTCTCTGGTATTTTTTCTTTAGTAAACCCAATAATAGTAACTTTGCTTAACCTTAAAAATGGAGTTGATGTTCATAAGTCAATACCCTTAAGTAAACCTGAAACAGGTGTTTTCTTCTGAACATATTAAAAAGTACCTAAAAGGAAACTTTGATAGACTTGTGGCACAATAAATGCATTTAATGTCGGCTAGTGCAGGCTGCTAAACCTGTGGCCACTAAGCGTTTGTGACTATATAGAAAAGGATATCTAAACAGTGTTTTTGAGAAAACATGGCTGTGCTATATTGCTTATCTGTTGGAGAATATCCCAGATTTGCTTACTCTCTGTGTCTACAATGTTGAATATAAAAAATTGGAGAAGGGTAGGATTGTCTGAATATAATGCTTCTATTCTTAGTAAACTAGAAATCTAGAAGTATTAATGCAAATGTCACTGTGACCTGCTTACTGACTAGACTGGTTTATGTCAGATTATACAGGAAATGGTTTTGACAGATTGATAATTTGCTGTAACATGGGAAACAGCTGAAAGTGTCATAGTCCAATTTCCAATATTTAAAATTTTTTACATTGCCAATATTATAACCCAACAAATGTTTTCATTAGACTTTAAAACAGCACATAAGGCTTTGATTTTTTGTCATTTGAACTTAAAAAGAAAAATTGATTCATAACAATTATCCTTGTAAAATTCTATATGAAAGTCTCATCTCCATATTAAATGACAAAAAGATTTGACAAAATTTTTATGCACATAATCCTAAAATCTTTTTATAATCCTAAATTTTTATTTGAGAATGTGAAAGTACAACAGTCTTTCTGAGTGCCAAGACTAATACAGAAAGGGAAGATAGTTGATGGTTATATAGGGGACTAATCTTAAGATTGTAAAAATGGTGGAAAGACCAACACTGGTTTCTTGAGTATTGATTTCTTAAGCAGTCCAAATGTTAGAAGAAAGGTTTAGCCTCTTTAGCACCTTTAACCTTCATGGATAAGCTTCTGCTTACTCTTGCCAAGAGTGTTTGAGTTCTAGAAAGCAGAAATAGTTTGAAGAATTCAGCCTTTTTCTAAACTCCCAGGTATTGGAATAGATGTTGCTATATAAAATTGAGTTTTCTGAGATGACACTGCCTCTATTTCTGTAACCATTTCACCTGGACTATCTAATCAGTCCTCTGAATGTATCCCTAAATATGGTTATTGGAAACAGAATAGATGCCTCATGAAAATTAAGGACGTGTTACTGAAGGAGGGGAAAATACAGTAAGTTTCGAATTGAGTATGCAGGCTCAACTCAATTTCTTTTTCCACACATTTAGTTAATGACTTAACCTAAATTGTCAATGTTTATAAAGGGTGAATTCTCCTGCATCAAACTAGTATTAAATAATTTTGTCCACTAAGGGAGGAGGATATGGAGAAAGTAGAAGCTGGGCCCTAGTTCATATGCCTATGAGTCAGTAAATACTGATATAATGTTCCATATTAAGTTGCTTATTTTGATATATAAGAAATTATCTTGTTTGAGGAAAAACAGTTCTATTAACTAAAATCACAAAATATGCCATCATAGTTTTCAGGGCGTATGGTTTTTACTGTGGGGCAAATAGGTAAAATTTAAACTTTATGGTATTGCATTTAAGTTCAGACAAAGTTTCTGCAGAGAAAGCTATGCAATATATAATTTGTTCAGATTTGTTTTCTTTGGGGAAAACAAGTTCTGAAATAGCCCCATTTTACTCATCAATTGAAAGTCCTCCAAAAAACAGAACTATTGGGAAACCATGGTGTGTGTTGGTGGAAAGGAAAAGCTCCCTCAGTTTTTGGAGGGAATAACTTTAAAAATACTTAAATGGCTAAGTTTACTTGGTGCGGTCAAGAATTAAACTTGTCAATTTTAACATTGCTGTTATACCTGAAATAAACTTCTGTGATGTTCTGGTAGTGATTTGTGATGTCTGGTAAATGTCAAAGGAAATTCTGCATTGTGTTGACTTCTATATTCTGGGGTCAGCAAATATACTCAAACAGAGCCATTAGTTGTACTCAGAATGTTTACTTTCATATTTAAAATAGGCCTAAGTACGTTGAAATAATAAACAAAAATAAGTATAATAACAGCTTTCTGATTCTGACCTTTCAAAACTTGGTAATGGCACTACCCAATTTTTCAAGTCTTTTTTTTTTTTTTTTTAAGGCAAGGAAGAAGATGCTATGTTGCACAGTAAAACTTAAATATTAACTACATATGTAATCTAAATCCTTTAAATTTTTTAATACTTTGATCTTGATTCTGTCATGTAAAATAAGGAACATAATAGCACCTACCTCAGTTTTGTCCTGATGATGTTAAGTGCCAGATAGTCAATTCTGACTTATAGTGACCCCGTATAGGGTTTCTGAGGCTGTAAATCTTTGTGTGCACAGAATGCCCCATCTTTCCTACAGGATGACCAGTGGGTTCAATTGTGATTCATTATCCAGTATTGATCCTGCAGGGCCACTTTGCTCCCATTAAATGAGGGTTGGTTATGTAAAAATTAGAAACATGATAGTACCATTGCTGTTAAGAGCTGTTGAGTTGATTCCAACCCATAGTGACCTTGTATAGGTTTTCCAAGGAGCAGCTGGTGAGCTTGAGCCACTGACCTTGCTGTTCAAATGACTTTCCAGTCTGACACGTTAGTTCGCAGTGCCACACCAGGACTCCAAAGGTAGTACTAGTACCCTAAATTTTAAGCTTTTAATATCTTCAGTTCCAATGAGGAAAAATAAAATAAGACCCAAAGAGCTATTCTAATGCTGTATTGTGAATGCTGCAAATGTTAAAATCATCTGGGAGGTTAGGCTGTGATCTGATTAGCAGTGTGCTTTGACTACAGATACATACAGTACATTGAATATTTTTCATTTTGTTAATGATGAGGAAGGAGTTCAGTAGTTGATGTTGGGGATTGTTTGCTTTCTAAATGTTTCCTGGATATCAAATATACATTTATTGATTTTTTTGCCTCAAAATTAATTCTGCATCTAATTTCTTAGTCAAAATTATATCTAGAATTCTGCTGGTTCCACTCGAGGAATAATTACTGGATAGTCTTTGCCTAACTTTTCAAAGAAAGGCCGAATTTAGGAAAGTTCAAGATTAATGTATTTAAAATAATGTGAACTTAAAATAGAGAATATAGTTTTATTTTAGCAGTCAATTAAATAGTGCAATGTTGTTGTGTGCCATCAAGTCGGTTCTAACACGTAACGATGCTGTATAGGGTTTCCAAGGGGCTGCTGGTGAGCTTGAACTGCTGACCTTGCAGTTCAAACGTACTTTGCAGTCCAGCACCTTAACCCACACTGCCCACACCAGGACTCCAAGTAGTACAGTGTTGTTAGTGCTGTTGAGTCGATTATGATCCATAGTGACCCTATATAGGATTTTCAAGGAACAGCTAGTGAGCTTGAACCACTGAGCTTGCAGTTCAAACGACTTTGCAGTCTGACACATCAGCATACAGCACCACACCAGGACTCCAAGTAGTACAAAAGGCACTTTTAGAAAGCTTGTGGGAATTTTCCATTATCTTTCAATTCAATTTTTCCACAAACTTTTTATAAGCTCGTTTGTGTTGTGTTTTTAAACTTAGGGCAAACTGCCCACATGACTTATGGTTGATTTGATTTGTTGGTATTTTATATCACACAGGACTTTCAACCAATTCCCAGATTGACCCCTTGCTCATAATTTGCATTTCCACTCAAGATATACTGACCCAGAATCTTCCTAGGGATCTTGTTAAAATGTAGATTCTGCATCACAGTCTCAGAAATGGGGTGGAAATGCAATTTTTCATGACGGAGTGGAATGGGAATGAATTTTCTGGAAGTTATGGTGTTGAGTAATAAGTGACAACACGTAAAGTAGAAACTTAACAAGTAACTTGAAATAAGCATTTTTTTCAGTGATGTTTTTCTAGCTATGAGGTGAGGTGGAGCAAACTATTTACTTATAATGGGTTAACAAACTGAAGAGAAGGCCTGAGTTATTTTGAGAAGGATTTTAATGGCAACTCAGTAATACTCAAAGTCCCTCAGGTGATGAAAATTGTTAAAGTTGTAAAGCAATACACAATATATTCCCACTTAACCGTCAGTGATGTGTTTGCCAGCTATCTCACTGCTGTGTGTGCATCACCCCCAGATTTTGGCTACTCTGTGCCTACAGTTTGAATCGGGACTCTGCAGGTTGTCATCCAGCTGTTGGTCAGGCTGGAGGAGCCACTGCTAAGATGGCTCATTCATTGCTATGTGGGTGGCTCATCAGGCTGCCTGAGTGACAGTTTGCCATCCGACTTCAACCAGAAAAGTGATCCAAGAAAGTGAACAGAAACCAGAGTCTAACGATGTGCTTTCAGAATTGGCATGTGCTCACAGACCAAGTCACATATTAGGGAAAAGGAGCCCACACAAGGGTGTCAGTACCAGGAGCCTGGCTGCCACACGTTGCTTGGAGAGAATGCTGGGTTATATTGACAAGTCCTGGTGTGGTACAGTAGAATAAGCACTGGACTACTAACAAATGGCCATTCAAACTCGAGCTGTCCCATGGAAACCCTATACAGGGTTAATATGAGTCGATGGTACATAACAGCTAAGGTCCCTGAGTATCGCAAATGGTTAAGCACTACACTACTAGCCCAAAGTCGTGGTGTGACGCGTTAGCATAAGCATACCATAGGAAATGAGACCTGGTTGATAAGACACTGCTTTAGAGTTGATTATAATAGCGAACCAATATTGGATTTTTGAGGCAGAAACTTTTATGGGCGCACTGATGGTGTCATCTGTCTCCTGTAGAGCAGATGGTGGTTTTGAACCTCTGAATCTGTGGTTAGTAACCAATACCTAACCCACAGCATCACTAGGATTCCTTTTGATGATCAAGACAAGTAGTATAGCCATAGACAATGGGCTTAAAAAGTTTTGAATGTAGTTTTTTTTTTTTAA